AACAGCAGAATGTCTCTGGGGTTTATCCAGTTCCCCAAGGATTAAACAGTTCTTAAAGTCTTCTCTGCTGTGGCTGGCTCGCTGGTACTCTTGCCGGGGGGACCTCAATGGAACCATGCACTTTGTATTTTGATATGAAAGCTGCCACTTTTAATAGGTCTTTACCAGCTTCCTCCACCATAGTCAGTTGTATCTTCCTGGGGCAATTGTGAGGAGAAACTCATGATTATCTAGTTAAGTATAATGAATGAGATGAATTCTTAACAGTTTTAATATGGAATATCATCCTGCATGGTTCTCATTGCCCTTACTATGAAAATACCAATTAATCTTATGCTATTTCTAGCTAGCTAAAGATAGCCCATTTTCCATACTAGGGTACCAGTCAATGAGGCCTTATGGATCTTCCTCCATTCACTGCTTGTATAACTCCCAATGGAGTCCTCTTCCAGTTTCCGATCACCCAAAGGAACACAGCTGCCTGAGCTGAATAAAAATCAGATTGCATTCCAGTGAGAACCAGCACTGGACCTATATTCTCTTTCAGTTTACTACAATAAGCAGCAGAATTCTGGTGTGGTTTTGTAAGACGAATACTGGACTGCTAACCACAATGTCGGTGGTTCAAACCCACCAGCTGCTCCTCAGAAACCCTATATGGGGTCACTATGGGTTGGAACCAACTCAGTGGCACTTAACAACAATAGCCATAAGCAGCAGATTTGCTGGGCGTGGAGGAAGCTACTTTGGTAGTGTCAGGAGTTCACGAGGTGCGGCAGGTTTCCTCTCCACCCTGGCAGGGCCTTGACTGGTTTCTGGCACTATCATTTGAGGTGAGTCACAGGTGGAGAGGTCAGTGGCAGTCAGCACCTACCTTTTTTTTTTCTCTCTCTCCCCTTTTAGTATGGGTATGTTTTCTTAAGCTTTTACAATAATGGTTTTATACAATAGTTGTCCTTTTGCAGCACCTACCTTTTGAGGTGACAGTTGTGATGCTAAGTTGTCAGACATTTCTAAGGGTAAAAGGCCCCTGCTAGGGATGCCACTTTGCCCCCAGCATATTTATTTACTTGTAAACTTTGTATTGTCACTGAGTGAAGGTTTACAGAGCAGATCATCAGTTTTACATTCAACAAATTATATACTTCATTTCATTACAATGATTGCAATTCCCCCCATGTACCTACCATCAGTTAACATTTACCTCTCTTCACTTAAACTCTTGCATTCCTTCCTGTGTGTGGCTACCTTCATTTTTCCTCTGCTGACCTCCCTCTTGTGTATTGCTTTCCCCGTCATCCTAAGTTAACTCGTGTCTATCCTCTTGCCAGTGAATAATTTTCCTTTCCCTCCCACCCCTGGTAGCCATCATAGAATATTTCTTTTATCAAGAAAACCTTTGCTTAACTTTTTACAACAGTGGTCTCATACAATACTTATTTTTTTAATGGGTAATGCATTTACATGGATCAGAAATCACAACAGTATGAAAAGGTATACTATCCTTGTCCTTGTCCACCTAGTCTTTCCGTAAGTATTTTATTAGCTTATTGGCTATCTTCCCAGTGTGTACTACTTAAGCATATATAAACAAATGACTCCTGATGTGGCTGTAGGATTAGCACTGGACTGCAGGCTATAAGGTCAGCAGTTCAAACCTATCACCTGCACCTTGGAAACCCTATACAGGGTCACTACGAGTCGGAACCACCTTGATGACACTTAGTTCTGACCCATAGCGACCCTGTATAGAGTTTTCAAGGAGTGACTGGCAAGCTTGAACTGCCGACCTGTGGTTCAAACTGACTTTGCAGTCCAGCACATTAACCCTCAGTACCACACTAGGACTATAGTAGTGGTGGCTGTGTACTGTTGAGTTGGTTCCAACTCATAGCGACCCTGAATAGGGTTTTCGAGGCTGTACATCTTTACGGCAGCAGAAAACCTCATTTTCTCCTGTGGAGCAGGCAGCTGGTAGATTTGAACTGCAGACCTCGTGGTTCACAGCTAGCCCTGCTCATAATCTGCTATACTACCCAGCCTCCATTTATACTTACTACATTTTCCCAAAATTCTGTACAATTCTGCATCAAGTGGTAGGTCTTGAAAAAGGTGACAGTTGATCTAAGACCTGAATGATAAGGTATCATTTGTGCTAAGATCTGGAAGTGCATTTCAGGAAAGGGGAACAGCAAAAGCAAAGGTTCTGAGGCAGGCATGAGCTGTGGTAGTCAAGGAACAGAAAGCAAGACAGCATAACCCAAACACCGTGCTGGGAGCATGAGCTGAGGTGAGGAGAAGTCAGAAACACAGGGGCCAGGCTAAGCAGCATTTTATAGGCCCCGAGTTGTTGTTGTTGTTGTTAAGTGCCATCGAGTCGGGTCCCGAGTAGCAGTCTAGATTATTATAAGTACATTGGGAAGCTATTGTAAAGTTTTAGCAGAGGAGTGATATAATCTAATGTGCATTTTTATTTATTTATTTATTTTTAATTTCAGGTTTTTATTGTGGATTGAGTGAAAGTTTACAGGGCACATCATCAGTTTCACATTCAACAATTCATATAACTTGTTTCATTACATTGATTATAATCCCCTCCATATACCATCAGTTAAAAGTATTTCTCTTTATCCACTTTAGCTTTTTTTTAAAAAGCACACAAACAAAAAAAAACCCACTCAGGCATATATAATAAATTACATCTCCAAAGGGCACATTCTGCAAGTCTGCTCCTGGCCACCAGCTCTTAGTCCTTCTCTTCTTAATTGATGAATCTAGAGTCCTCAGCCGCACCCCCTCTCCATGACCCCATCTCTGCCTCCATCTCTGGTGCTGCTGCTTCTCTGGATAAGGTCCTGCATTCTATTTGTGCGTTCCCCTCTTGATGGTCCTAGGGTTCTCTGTTTCTGGACTAAGATTAACTAATGTGCATTTTAAAATCATCACTGGCTACTGAATGTAGATTGGGTTTATAAGGGGTAAAGCAGAAGTAGGGATACCGGTTAGGAGATACATCTAATAATCCAGTTGAGGACAGTTTGAATTGAGTTACTGACAGATGGAGAAAACTGGACAGATAGAATTTTGAAAATAATCAAATTATTCTTTGAATAGAAAATTAAAATCTGCTGGCAGTTGGATCCATGAGATTGAGAGTGACAGTTCCTTAGCTTTCCTTCCTACGTTTCAAGTCTTTGGTGTCTGTGAACATCTTGATGACAGAAACAGCTTTATCTTTTTTTGTTTTCATTTCAAGCACCTAAGGAAGTGTTGGGCTCACAGTAGCATGCCAGCCATTCACTCTTCAACATCTACTGAGTGCCCACAGTGTCTCCTTCTAGGTGCTAGATGGCTTCTCTACAGAAGCAGGGAAGCCTCTCATGTCAAGGAATTGGCTTTAGAAATTACCTTGAGGTATCAAAGAACTGGGTAAATTATGATCTTTTTGAAATTGAAAAGAATGTGATTCTAGGAAAAACCCCTGCCCTTGTTATAGAGGATATTCCTGGCCACTGGGACTGAGGCAACATCTGAGGTTAGTCCTCATAAAATAAGAACTGTGGGCCTTACAGAGAGGATTCTTTACCTCTTAAGAGTCCTGGGCTTCTGAAAAAGGTGGTGTTTTTTTTTGTTTTTTTTTTTAATTAGACTTTTGCCAGCAAATCTCTGTCCCTCTCCTTTCCCCTTCTGTGTCTGAATCATCTCTCAAGACCCATATTACATTCTGTGCTCACCACAATTATCTACCCTGATTGAAATAGGCTGAAGAAACACCTTGCCCTCCTCTGAACTTCGATGTCATTTACTGTGTATGCAATCCAGTTGGCAGTTAATAATTGATTGCCTTATGTCATCTCTCCTGGTGTCTTGAAAATTTATCCATATTTCTTATTGTTATAATTTTTACTTGTCTTACAGTCCATTTGTAATCTTGAACACAGGAAACCTAACCCCAACACTACCTTCCCAGAGTAGATCTATACTTTGCATTGACCTCAGGGGCCTCCTCTGACTGTGAAAGCTGTTCAAGGGCTTAACTGATTTTGTGGGATTATCATATGAAGGTTCTTAGCTCCTGCTAATTCTCTTATGTCCCTTCTCCCCTGCTTTATCCTTCTAGGCACCTCATTGTGAACATGCTTTCTGCAATGCCTGTATCACCCAGTGGTTCTCTCAGCAGCAGACATGTCCGGTGGACCGTAGTGTCGTGACGGTCGCCCACCTGCGTCCAGTACCTCGGATCATGCGGAACATGTTGTCAAAGCTGCAGATTGCCTGTGACAACGCTGTGTTTGGTTGCAGTGCTGTTGTCCGGCTTGACAACCTCATGTCTCACCTCAGTGACTGTGAGCACAACCCGAAGAGGCCTGTGACCTGTGAACAGGGCTGTGGGTGAGATTCTTCCCCTTCTTCTGCCTGACACAGATAAGGACCTCCCCATTTCTACCTCTGTCTTTGGACCTCTGCTTACTAGCTGAAGCGTGAGGCCAAGGGGAGTCCCTGGCTTCCTTGATTTCCTACCCCAAGATCTTACCTTCTTGCTTCTTTTCCAATTATGATTTTTGCTATTGTTCTAATAAAAGAAAGGACATCACAGTTCAGCAATCTGTGTGATAATACTAAAGATTGATTTCTTTTATCCTTCCCTGTCAATCCAGTATGACGTTTTCTTTGTCAGATTGACTCCTCTAGTGTCCAACCTTTTCATATTTCCTTTTTCTTTTTTTCCCCTTATGGGGTATGAAATATGTGATTAACTGCCAATAGCTGGGGTTGTGAATCTCAGGTTTCCTGGGAGGAATGAGTATACAGGCAGAATCTGTAGCAGGAAAGGAGAACCATGCAACAGGTAAGACACTGTGTCTAGGGAGAAAGAATCCCGGAGAAAGTCACCAGCACAGAGGCAAGTAGGGAGCTTGGAGAAGATGAAAGCTTGTAGTGAAGGTTAGAAATCTGGGGGAGGAGAAAGTCCACACAGCAATTTTCTGCCACAGAATAGGCCATTTGTCCACATGTCCCATTGATCCCTGTCCTTTCCTTTCCCCACCCTGGGCTGTAGCCTGGAGATGCCCAAAGATGAGCTGCCAAACCACAACTGCATTAAGCACCTGCGCTCAGTGGTCCAGCAGCAGCAGACACGTATCGCAGAGCTGGAGAAGACGTCAGCTGAACACAAACACCAGCTGGCAGAGCAGGTAAGGGCCAGAGCACATGGGTGAGAATAGGCCCCAAACATGCAAATACCTGTGTGCCTTTGGGTGAGCCCCCAAACCTCTGCTTGTGCTTGTGAGTCTGTGAGTGAAAGTTCTGCCTATGGCTTAGAAGGGAATCAGATTGGAATTCTCTCTTGCTTTCATCCCATTCATCCCCTTCACAGTTACCAAATACTTTCTCTGTGCAGGCACTTTTCTAAGCACTGGGGATACAGCTGTGACTAGGACGGTCATATCCCCATCCTCATGAGGTTCACACCCCAGATCTCTCAGTTGTCTCTGTTCTCAGATAAGCTTTTGTCTTTGACCTATCATCTATCATCTACCTTTACTGTCTTCCTTGGTTCTCTTTCCCTCTAACAGAAGCGAGACATCCAACTGCTCAAGGCATACATGCGAGCAATCCGCAGTGTCAACCCCAACCTTCAGAACCTGGAGGAGACAATTGAATACAACGAGATTCTAGAGTGAGTGTCACTCAGGACATGGAGTCAGTCACTCCACATCCTGGCACAGACGCCTGAAAGGAGGAAGAGCAGGGGAGTGGCAGAAGCAGGGCACTAAGAGAGCTGGGCTGGGCCACCACTTCTTGGATGTTGGGATGACAGGGGCAGAGGAGAGGAGCAAAACCCTCAGCCCTAATACAGGATCTCTTAATCATTTGGGTGGATGGAAGGGAAAGCCAACCCAAGGATGCAATTTATCCAGAATTAGGTGAGTACTCACCATGTCCAAAGCCCTGTATTAAAGGCTGTGAAGTACTAGGAGGGCAAAAAAGAAATAGAGGGTATTGTCCCTGTCTTCAGGTAGCTTACAGTCCAAAGAAGAAGAGACAGAGTGCAAATCCAGGAAAGTGATTTAAAATGCACCAAAAACAAGCGAAGTAAACAAGTGAAGTCTAAGATCCCTTTCAGTTGTGGAGTTCTATACAGTTCATAAACTAAACTGTAAGTGTGAAACTATATATACAGGGCAAAGAATACTGAGTGGGACACAGCATAGAGGAAGAATTGCTTTTTGAATAAACATTTGTTGAGCACTTACTATGTGCCAGGCACTATCTGTGCTAAATATTGGGATTTAAAAAAAAATAATAGTGGTCCTATATTCTTAGAATTTAATCCGGTGAGTAGTTTGGTGATTCCAATGAGACAATGACAGAAGGAAGAATAGCGGGTAGTTATTCCTGTTAGAAGAAAAGGCCAGTGCAAAGAAAGGGGATGTGCTGAATGACCACCTCCAACCCCCCTACACACAGGTGGGTGAACTCCCTGCAGCCAGCAAGAGTGACCCGCTGGGGAGGAATGATCTCCACCCCAGATGCTGTGCTCCAGGCTGTCATCAAGCGCTCCCTGGTGGAGAGTGGCTGCCCTGCCTCGATTGTCAACGAGCTGATCGAAAATGCCCACGAGCGAAGCTGGCCCCAGGGTCTGGCCACACTAGAGACAAGGCAGATGAACCGGCGCTACTATGAGAACTACGTGGCCAAGCGCATCCCTGGCAAGCAGGCTGTTGTTGTGATGGCCTGTGAGAACCAGCATATGGGTGATGACATGGTGCAGGAGCCAGGACTTGTCATGATATTTGCGCATGGCGTGGAGGAGATCTAATCCTGTCACTGCAGCTGGGCCCTCTTACACACACCCCTCCTCCCTCCCAAAACACTAGGGCTTAGGAGCCACACACACCTGCCTGCTCTTGTGGCACTGAAGGGCCCCAGGACTCTTAGCTCAGCCTTTCAGGTTTCAACCTCAGATTCCCTCCTTTTGCCATATTTTGTCCCCTAAACATCTGTAAATGCTCAGCCTGGTTGGGAGGGTCCCTACCTCAATCTGTTTTTCTGCCTAGGATCTGGTTCTAGATATTTTCAGAAAGCACAAAGAGATCAGTATCCCTCAGAGGATCAGAGTGGAGTGAGAAATATATAATCAGCCCCCTCCTCCCCAAAAAGGAATTGGAGCAGGCAGGCCTGTTGATTATTACATTGGTTAGGGGGTATCTCTGAGGAGAGGGCATCCTGAGTCAATGGTAAGGGCAGAACCCAAACCCTAGAAATAGTGAGGTTGAATAATTACTGGCCATCACTGATTACCCTTAGGGGACAACCGGACCCTTGTGCCAATCAGTATCCCTGTTCAGTCCACCACGAAAGTGCAGACACTGAGGTGCAAGTTGGGATGCTGACCATTTCCAGCTGAGCTCTTTATACTTTTTCATCATTTGGGAATGATAAGGTTAGGGGTAAGGCATTGCTGTCTCAGCAAGGAGCTGCTGTCTGGCTTTTGCTGCCTCTGGTGGCATGGTCAGCACTAGCCCCACACACCTCTCACCAGCCCTGTGATTGTAGTTAGTTATTTTGATATTTTCCTTTTGGCCATGTTTATATTTCATCCCTCCACCTCCCCATCACCACTACCAACCTCCACACACATACTTTTTTTAAAAAAAAAAAAGAATTGCCGGTTGTTGCTACCCTACTTTCCAGCCCAGCCTCATCGTGGGCTATTTAATTTATTTACTTTTTTTTTTTTTTTTTTAAAGAAAGAAAAAAGGGAAAAAAAATGAACGAAACTTAAAACTTTCCTTTTGCTGTTCCTATCATGGAGTTTCTGGATAAGGGTGGGAAAGGGATGGGAATCTGTTTTATCTTTTTCCTTTTCAGCACAGCATTTGGTTTGAATATAGGAATCGTCAAGGGAGTCCTTGGCTGAACAATTGATGTTGGTCCCAAACCACAGAAACCCCATGTGAGATGAGCAGCTTCCTCTACAGCAGTGAAGGACATACTAGCCCAGCATGGATGCCTGAGCCCTCTGGAGAACTTTGCTCCTGGTCCTCCTGGAGTTTCATCCTAAGATTGGCTTTAGAGTTACTCATTTTGAAGGCAATTCCTCCCACGTCCTTGTAGACATACTGCTGGGTTCTAAGCTTCACCAAGCAAGATGGGATAGAAATTATGTCTTTAGTCATCACTAGTACAGGCTGCTCTGCCTTACCCATACCCCCTGAGGACTACAGCTGTATTTCTGGCAACTCTAGGCAGTCCTGTATCCCTATGGTGACTGGCACAGGAAAGGGAAAGAAGGATGGTAGGTAAGGTTAATTTAATCAGCAAGTGGGATTGGAATTTGGGAGACTTGGCAGGTTCATCCCTACCAAAGCATCACAATTTTTTCTCACAAGAGTTTATTCCAGGCTGGCTTGCTGTAGGTCTAAGTAATAGGGTCATGGCTCCACTGAGATTAGAGTGAAGGGATACAATTTGAGCGTATTAGGGAAGAGTGATATGCTTCAGCCACCAGACACTGTGCTCAGGAATTTGAAAACGCTGCTATACTTAAGAGTGTATCTGTTCCACTCTCTTCCGCCTGCCTCACCCAGGCCTATATTCACCTGTTGTCTCCCTCACAGGAAGCTCAAGGAAGGCTTCCCTGCCCTTTGTACTTGTGTCTCTGCAGGTTGCTGGTTGTGTTGGACGTGCTGCTCCATGGGTTGACTACACTAATAAACCTTTTTTTAATTCTTCACATCCCTCCCCCACTTCCCAGGGTTTCTCCTTTGCTTTGACCGTTCTTTCATTAATTCCCTTTCCTTGTTCCTTGCTCTGTAACTTACCCTTGTCTTAGATCTATCTAACCTCTGTTTTAGGAGGATGTCTAAGAGAAGTGTGTACCCTCCTACATCCTTCCTGTCTCCTGCAGCATCGAAAGTTCTCTCTCCAGGGATTGGAATTGTATTCTTTCCAAAGTCTACCTTTACCCCAAATTCCATGGGCCCCACCAAGTACATTTGCTTCTGAATGTAGGATTCCATTGCAAGCAAGGAAGCCTCCACCCTAACCCCATTCCCAATGTCTTCTAACCAGAACAAAAATGTTAGGAAGGGCACCTGAAACACATGAACCTGCTATGGTTGTCAGACTTTGTAAGTCTTTTTCAGGGGCATTTGCTGCCACCTCTGTCGTGAGACAAAGGAACTGAACTCCTCCCCCCACCCTCTGTCCCAACTATATTTTAAATTAAACTATCCATACCAAAACCCAGACAGTACCACTGAGTCGCTTTCAACTCAGAATGACCTGATAGAGTACAACTGCCCTATAGGGCAAGGCTGCATATACTTATGGAAAGAGATTGCCACATCTTTCTACACCTAAATGACTGGTGGATTTAAACAGACTTCAGTTAGCAGTTGATCACTTAACCCCTCTGCTGCCAGAGTCCTGGTGTGGTGCTGCAGGTTAATGTGCTGGACAGCAAAGTCAGTTTGCACTGTAAAGTTGGGGGTTTAAGCTCACCAGCTGCTCCTCAGAAACACTATACAGGGTTGCTATGAGTTGTCAATTTGCACTTGACAACAACAACAATGTAAATGTAATAGTACTCTGTAGATACTTTGCTGCTTTTAAGTGCTGTCGAGTTGGTTCTGATTCAGTCAACTTGTATAGGGTTTCTGAGGAGCAGCTGGTGAGTTTGAATCACTGACCTTGTAGTTAGCAGTTCAGTGCTTATCCTTAAGTACCACATCGTAACTCCTGTAGATGCTTTGGGAGTTAAGACATTCTTGCACCTATGGACACTCTAACACTCATATACAAGGAATGAGGATAAACAATGACCATGTCACACAGTATGATGCTGAAGGATAAGCACACATCATCACAGTATATAGCTTAGAAGCTCGATGCCAACTCTTCCTCTTGAGTAAAGAGTTTTGGAAATGATCAAATGTCTCTTCTCAAGGTACTCATTAGGATAGAGTTGAGGGGTTCATCCTGGCACCTGCCTTCAAAGAACTTACTCCCAAGTGACTACAGGAATATAATAAATGTGCTAAGTGAATTTATGAATAGTATGAGTCGGAATAAATTTGATGGGTTTGGTTTGTTTACAGTGAGCACAAAGCCCTGGTTGGCGCACCGGTGAGTGGCTTGAACCTGAGAGAGATGTGGCTGTCTCCTGTAAAGATTTAAACAGTGGAAACCCTATGGGACAGTTCTACTTTTGAGGAGCCCTGGTGGGGCTTAAAGCACTTATCTGCTAACTGAAGGGTCAGCAGTTCAAACCGCTGTTGCTCCAAGTGAGAAAGATGTGGCAGTCTACTTAGTATAGATCTGCAACCTGGGAAACCTTGTGGGGCAGTTCTACTTTGTCCTGTGGGATCACTGAAATTGACGGGTTTGGATGTGAGCAGAGAGCAGATAAACCACTGAGTCTGATGGGTATCAGAAAAGGCTTTTCTGAAAAATTAGTGTTTGTTCTAGATAAGATGTTCACAGACTGGCTCCTAACTGTCAGCTTTTGTAACAAAGTTTTATTGGAACACAGCTGTGCCCATTTGTTTGTATATTCTCTATGGCTGCTTTTGTGTTACAATGGCAGAACTGAATAGTTATAACAGAACGAAGGCTCAAAATGCCAAGAATATTTATTACTTGATCCTTTATGAAAATTTGCCAATCCATTCCAGACGTTTAAGGTCAATAGAACTGAGGAAGTAAGAGTGGGGAAGGTTTTTTTTTTTACTTCAGTATATATATTTGAAAAGTCAAAACATTTTTCTACATTGCAAAACTAATGAATAAATTCACCCTTAATCATCCCAATAAAAGTCCTGTAGAGCTAACTTTGGCTCAGACCTAGTGACCAAGTACATCCAGTTGTGGCTCCTAACGCTTCTTCCCTCTTAGTCTGGACTCCTGGAACCAGCTTGTGTGACACTAACTTGAAGAGATCAGGACAGCTGTTACAGAATTCAACTGATTAATTCTTCACAGTGCCCTTCAGTGTACTCCTCCAGTTCCATTTTTACTATAAACAGAATTAGATTTAAAATCTTAAAGATTCATATTCAGCAATTTTGGAGATTGAACACATCACAAGAGAGGTGCTTCTATATTGTGTGATATTCAGGAGTATGTTTAGTTGTCCCACGAGTAGCCTCATCTACTCATTGTAACATGTAATGAGAAATCTAGCTAGGTGATAAATACATGCCCTGAAAGGAGGCTGCAGCTAACACTGCAGCTTCAGTTGACTACTGCTATATAAGAACAGCAGTGTGGTCTTCCTCCTCAAATGTATACTTTTAACTTCCACTTGTCTTTTTTCATGCTATGATCTCAGCCCAAAATAAATTGCAAACTGGTGAACCCCAAAAGTTCTGTTTACTTTGTGGACAGAGCTTACATTTTTCCAAGAAACTTGAGATCCTATTATTTATTATAAGCCTTGTGATTTTAAAATATTGGCTTAAATTTGTAAGGGAAAAATACTTTTGGATTAAGGTGGGGGGAAACCAGTTTGCAATCTCTTTAGGCTGAGATAGTAGCATGAATAAAAATAAAAAGTAAAAAGGTTGAAGGAATAAAGTAATATAATCTGAGACAGTTTCTTGAAGTTAACAGTGGAAGACAGAATCATTTGGGGTCAATGTTTGGAAGAATTTGAACTTGTTTGGAAGAATTTTGCAGGTAGGTTGGTTGGTTATGTTCCATGGAGACGGAACCGACCCATAGCGACCCTGGTACAGGATTTCCGAAGCTGCAAATCTTTACAGGAGCAGAAAGCCTCATCTTTCTCCCATGAAAGAGCTAGTAGTTTTGAACTGC